TTGTCTTTCAGTTGCTGAATCATCTCCTGACCATCATTTTGGAATTCGATCATTGACATACCCATAGTAGTTTCTAACTTTTTCTTGACACTTTCACCAATTTTCCGTGTCTTACCTTTCACATACTTATCCCTTTGTAGTCGTTTTTGGTCAACAGGTGATTCACCTATTAGTTCCAAAGACTTATTCAATGTTTGTAGGTCACTCACAGAGGTGTGAAATTCAGTATCCATAGAAGAACCAGGAACATTCCCATTGCCATCATCTTCACTACTGCTAGTTGAAGTTACAGATGGTAATGGTAACTCACACACTTTTAATTCTGGCTGTTGTTTTGCAAGCTTCTTGCGGCATTGTGTGCAAATCTTCTGTCCTCTTTTAAGATTAAGATTTGGATGGTTTGCAATAAGCTTTTCAGTTACTTCCCTTAAACCTGATTTATTCTTTTTTTTATGTACTCCAAACGGATCAAAGCAGAAAGTCTGCCTTAATATATAATGAGTCTTGCTTTGTGACATCTTGAAATGACTTCAGAAACTATTCTGAAAAATCCTGATACTGTAGGTCAGAGCTAATCTGGGATTTTCCAATGGGAATACCAGGTTCCTATTTTGAAATTCAAAGAAATATCCACCTGGAAAATCCCAAGGAATTTCCACCTGAGAATTTTCAAGTGATGCAAGTTTAATTTTCTCATACCTACATATAAAACTAAGCAGTATGGTGTACTATTGGTTTTCATATATAGGTACAATACTGTGTTATTATACGGAAAATGCAATTTCGAATTGACAAGTATACATAATACTTGCTCATTGTTCAGGAACTTTTGGAGCGCCCATCACCAAACTTATTTACATCATTAGGTATCTCTAACATGAATTTCAAAAAAAAAAAAAATATATATTTTTTTTATTGAACTTTGAACTTTACAACCTGTCATAACTTTTTTATATTTGAATTGAGGACTTAGCATTTATTAATAAAGTTATAGAGCTACTCAATAGCTTTAAAATGACACCAAAATCAGCTCTGTAGGTGCCACGCTTTTCGAGATATGGTCGGTTAAACACGCAAGGTATCGCTAATTAGCCAAAAGTTCGTTAGCAGATATCTCGTTAATTAGGAGGCCTAGAGAAAAAAATTTTCATTTCTGATCATTTTTCATGGGTCCCAACAACATACAAAAATTTGAACAAATTCCGAGAGATTGAGGTTTTTTTTTTGGTTGATTTGACATGGAATTACCCTTTGATAAACAATCATAATACTTCATTTTAAATCTAAAAATTGTGAATGAGGCAAGAACTAACATATAATTAATTAAAAAGTAATCCTGACCTTTTAAATGGTCATCTACAATAAGTGAACGTAAAGTAATAAATTTGGGAGGGCCAGTTTATGTAAAAATAAATTAAATTAATTCCAAAAATCTTTGATCTCTTTACATGAAATAAACATATTTTTGTAATCGTCTTTTGCATCTTTAACACAGAGGCGAATCAATAAGTTTCCATTTAAATAAGTTTTTTCGACACGGTATAAAATTAAAAATAAATTTATAACTAAAATTCATTAGTAATCTTTAGTTTTAAAAGCCATACTTTATGCCAATTTATCTTGATATTTAATTTATTTTTCCACTTATTTTGAACGTGTGATTTTACAATTTTTTAAATATTAATTGATCATAAAAATCTTTTGTTTTAAGCACCTGTATATTTTGTTTATTTTTTTACGTATACAATCTAGTTTTCCGGATTTTTACGTATTTTGTCTTTTCATGAAACCGGAATAGCTTCAATTATTGTTTTTAATTCAACTAACCAATTTGCCGAGGATTTAGGTTTGATTTTAATATACTATTGGCATAATATGCCGTCTTTATTTAAAAGATCATTGATACGTACTATTCCTGAATTAATCCAGTGTTTTAGATAAGGAAAAGAATTATATTTGCCGTTTACCAATATATGATTTCCCCATATAGCTTCACTTTTTATATCTTCCACTGATATATTGTGTATATACCTGATGATAAATACCATGCTAACATAACCTGGCGATAACATAAAGGGATCTGGTTTAAATTTAAATTTGGGATATTTTTAATCTTGTCTAAATTCATTTTTAAAATCATATTATCTGGTCCTAACTTATTTAAAAAAGTAGTAGAAACCTGTGCCCATGTAGCGGAGCCTTTTAAGAATTCAAGTGGCTCTGAGAGAGCTACGTGACTTTCAAAATCACACATATTTAACCCGCCCTCAATCGGATTCCGAATTACCACATTTCTAGCTACCTTGTCTTTCTTACCGTTCCATAAATACGAAAATATTAAAGAGTTTACAGTTTTTATAACCGCCTCACTATTGGGAATGGAAGCAGCTAAAAAGGTTGAGCTAGATAACACCAGTGGTTTAATAATAGTTATTTTGCCGAAGAGAGTGAGGCTTCTACGACTCCAAATTATTTTTTTTCCATATTTGATCGTAACATGAATTCATGTTTTTACTAAAGTATATTCCTGGTGTTTTAACAGGATCAGTAGTCCACCTAAAAACTTTATTGTTAATATTTCCAAAATAAATGCCTATTGTTTTTTAGTAATTTACTTTGTGACCAGCCATTTTACCAAGATCATTTAATAATTTTAGTACTCTATCTAATGACTTTTTGTTTGACACAAACCGTATCGTATCATCAGCATATTGGTATATCTTGATATCACCTGTGTTATTATGTTCAGACGGTATTTGAATAACGTTAATTAAGGAATCCTGCCTGATTTTATTCGCCAATACTTCTGAAATAATTATAAAAATAAAGCGGGGAGCGGACATCCTGGTCTCAAACCTCTTTGCAGACAAAATAATTTGAAACCCAACCATTGTTATAAATCGTACTTTGTACATTTTTTTACAATGTTTCTACCCAACGAATAAATGATATACTAAAATTAAATCTTTCTAAAGCCTGGCTGAAAAAACTCCATTCTACAGTGTCAACGCTTTTGCAAAATCTACGAAAACAATAGCATAATTTATCTCTGTTGTGTTACAAAAATGCATGACATCAATAATTAATCTTATTGGATCCGATGAAGCGTCCTTTAATATATGCTGTTTGGTCTTCATTCATAATGGTATTTAATATTGATTTTACCCTAGTTGCGAGAACATTTGCAGCAATTTTGTACTCGACATTGAGTAAGCTGATCGGTCTCCAGTTACTAAGCAGTTCAGGTTTTCCTTTTTTATGCAAAAGTGATATAACTGCCCTGCGTTGAGAGGAACTCATTTCGCGTTTTTCGTAAGCTTTGTTTAAAGCGTCAACTAACATAAGGTTTATACGCTGTTCCAAAATGTTACATAAAATTCCACTGGCAGACTGTCACAGCCGGGTGACTTATTCAATGCCATACTCTTAATTGCTATTTCACATTCATGTAATGTAAACATACCTTCACAACTGTTTTGATCATTCTCATTTAAATAATAAACAAATCTGAGTCTAAGTAATTATTTAATTCATTTTCGTCGGGGTTAGTCAAACTATAAATATAAAGTAATCAGCTCCTTGTTTTAAAATTTGTCTTTGGTCCGTAATATTGTCACCACTATCTGTTTCCAATTTAATAATGGTTTTCTTAATTTGATTATTATTTTCAAGCCCAAGGAAAAAATTATTTTTTTTTCTCCTTCGCACCATTTTATGCATACACGGATCTGTTGCCCTTTAATTTTGTCAACATAGAATTTATTAAGGGTTTTTTTTCAAGATTCTCGATTTCGCAGAGCTGATCATTATTAACCGGATTGAGATCTTGAAGTTGTTTTAATTTGATTGATATCTCTTTTTCAATTTTTCTCTTAACCCTCGCTTTGTGTTTTGCAAAATTGATTGAAAACTCTTTTACTTTCATTTTACAATAATCCCAAGTTATTCGTTTGTCATCTAAAACAGAACATTTATCGTTAACATTTTTAATAATTGTTTTTAATTGTTTTACATACGTTTTGTCTTGAAGGAGTGATGTGTTTAATTTCCAAATCCCAGAACCTCCTGAACCAGAGTTCAGTGTTAACTTTATCGATACAGCAAGATGGTCAGTTAAAATATGTAGTATTGTTCTTATTGTTATGTCATGTGATAATGCATAGTACTGGAATGATGTACGAATCTATTGGGCTTGTTGAACAACGTAACATTTAATGCAAAATGGTTAACCACAAATCCTTGTCTAGGCATTACAAGGCGAGCGTAGCAACACCCGTATGAAGCGCCATGGGCGTATCATCACATCCTCCTCTTTAGTAATTAACTCATAACATAACAAAACATACTTATTATTGACACTGAATTGGTAATAGTCAGTGTACGTTTTATTTATTTTTTTAAATCATTGATTACTAGTTGATGAGTAACTTGTTCTTTATAGTTTTATAGTGTTCAATTTATGAGTCTATTGATTTTAAATAAGTGGTTTTCTTTTAGATTTATTAGTGCAAGTATTTTTATATGGATTCTATCAGTCTTTTTGGTTTCTTTATAACTCGGCAAGACCGCCGAGTAGATGGTGGTGTTGTGTTTATGACGTCAGGTGCATGATCCATAAATCTTACTCGCTTTGAGTGCTGCTTGTGGAGGTGTTTTCTGTTCCGTCTTAGTATTCCTCCTGTCTGAGTTTCCACCCAATATGATCTTGGTTCCTTGCAGATTTTTCGCACAGTTGCTTGCGTCCATTCCTTGTTTTGGGGGTCTTGTTGTGTCACTTGTTCTCCTTCTCTCAATGGAACAAGGTTTTTAACTCCTCTTTTGTCATGATAGGTCTTTTGCATGGTTTGTCGTTGGATTAATCTGTTGGTGACTTTGTTGTGGTGATTGTCGTCTTGATACCTTATTGGTAGATTGCTCCTCACTTTCCGGTTATACACTACAGTAATTCTGTGGGTGGTGGAAGGTAATTGTCTATCGGTGTTGTCCTCAAGCGCAATAGCGCTAGGAATGGGTCTGAGCCACTGTCTTTTGACTTCTGTAGTGTGCATTTCACTGTTTGTATGGTTCTTTCAATGAACCCATTACTTCTTGGGTAGTGTGGGCTTGATATTACATGTTCAATCCCCCACTTGTTCACAAATTGTCGGAACTCGGTACTGCTAAAGTGTGGACCGTTGTCGCTTACAACTTTGTTTGGAATACCATGCTCACTGAATAGAGATTTAGTCATCTTGATGACTGCCATGCTGGTGCTTCGTTTTCCAATCTTTTTTACAAAAGGAAATTTGGAGTAATAATCAGCGACAGCAAGGTATTCATCTCCATGAAAATAAAACAAGTCTACTGCGACGACTTGCCAAGGTCCTTCAGGTATTTTGTGCTGCATTAATGGTTCTGGTTGCTGTGATTTCATGTGTGATTGACACATAGTGCAGCCTTTGACCACATCCTCTATATCACGGTTAATTCAAAATTCAAAACATAGATGATTTTGCTCGTAGTTGGGTTTTGACTATACATTGGTGGTCGATGTGGAGCTTTTTCAAGATGCCTGGTCTTAGTTTCTCTGGTACTAGTATTCTGTTTCCTTGTAGTATAAGGTCATCTTCAGTTGCTAATGTATCCCTGGTTGACCAATACATTCTGATGCATTTTGGTAACTTCTTTGGTTCATCTGGCCATCCGTTTATGATGGTGTCCATTGGGGGTTTAAGAATTACACTTTGTTTGGTCTCTTCTTGCATCTCTGCTAGCTTTTCAGCTGTAAACTGTATCATGTGGATAGTTCTATCAAATTCTATCTCAGAGCCATATGATGGGTTTAGTCTTGACATTGTGTCAGCTAGTGTCATATCTTTCCCTGGTCTGTAAGTTATTTGCACATCATATGGTTGTAGCTGGATCATCATTCTTTGGAGTCTTGGCGGAGTGTTTGCTAGGCTTTTATGTTGGATGTTTTCCAGTGGTTTATGGTTAGTTTCCACGGTGAATTTGGTTCCATACACATATGTGTGGAATCTTGTACAGCCAAATACAACTGCCAATAACTCACGCTCAATGTTTGCATACTTCTTTTCTGTGTCAGTTAGGGCTTTGCTGGCAAAGGCAATTGGTTTTCCATTCTGGATTAGAGCTACGCTTAAACCCTTCATTGAGGCATCTACTTGGATAACTATAGGCTTATTTGGTTGGAAATAGGTCAGAGTACAGCTTTCTGTTATGAGTGTCTTAACCTTTTCAAATGCTGTTTGATGTGATGCTGTCCATTGCCATTCCGAGTCTTTTCTGGTTAGAACTCTGAGTGTGTCTGTGTGTTCTGCCAATTTCGGTATAAATGGGGACATGTATTGCACAATCCCTAGGAACTGCTGTAGCTCAGTGACAGATGTTGGGCTTGGTAATGAGTGAATGACTTGTACCTTCTGTGGATCTGGATGTATACCATCTGCATCGTAGAGACATCCAAAAAAATTCACGCATTTTGTTTTGATGTCACATTTTCCAATGTTGAAGACAAGACCGTATCTTCTTGCGATCTTCATGATATTGTGTAAGTTTTGGTCGTGTTCTCTGTCATTACATCCAAAAACAACCACGTCATCGGCGATTCCAATTGTTCCAGGGCACTGCTCAAGGATCATGTCCATCTTTTCTTGGAATATGTCCTGTGACACCTTGAGTTCAAATGGTAGGCGATTAATCCTGAATCTTCCAAATGGGGAGTTGAACGTAGTTAGAAGGCTGGACTCTTCTGTTAGCATAATGCTCCAGTAACCATGTCTTGCATCGTGTTTGCTAAAGATTTTAGCTCCGCTTAGCTTATGGGTAAGCTCCTCCAGCGTTGGTGTTTTGTGGTACGTTCTTTTTATTGCTCTGTTCAAATCTTTTGGGTCAAGACAGATTCTCAGCTTCCCATTGCTCTTGCGGCTGTAGGTTATTGATGAGACCCAGTCAGTTGGTTTGGTGACTTTAGTTATTATTCCATCATTTAGCATATTGGTCAGCTCTGCTTCCAGCTCATTCTTGAGGTGAATTGGGTATTTTCTCGGAGGGTGGATTACAGGCTGTGCATCTTCGATTAGAGTGATGTTGAATTCTCCTGGAAATCTCCCAATACCTTTAAATCTGTCAGGGTATTGATTCTGCAGATCATTTCTGTCTTTGATTGGTACATCACCACTTTGATTTGTATCGACTGCACAGTTGATAGTTAGCATCAGGGAGTCCTAGAATAGCTGGTCCCTCAACACTGCATACATAAAAATTTAACCATGACCACTGCTTGCCACTGAATTTGGCTTGTATCTGGAATGTGCCATGTTGCGGGATTGTTGTTCCATTGTATGCTGTCAGTTTAACCTTGTTCACCTTGGTTTTACCCGGTTTGGGGAGCCCATTTGTGTTGACGCTTTCCGGTACCATCTGTTTATATATGCGCAGGGGCAGTATGTTACCTTGGGCACCTGTGTCAACTTTTACGAAAAGAGTGTGTATCCAATTTCTCTGTGGTATTTAAATTTTTAAGTCAGCATACAGTTCATCACATTTGTCGTCTATTCCAACTGAACTGAACGACAACTCTTCAAACCACTCCATGACATTATTATCTGTACCCAAGGCAATGGCATTCATTCGTCTTCTATTGTTATATGAGCTTCTGTTTCTAGACCTACTCCTGGAATACGATACTTTTGGTCTTTCACGACTCTTAGATCTGTGCCTTTGGCTTCTGCACATGCTCTGCCAATGTCCTCTTTTCCCACATCCTGTACATGTTGTTCCATAGGCTGGGCACTGTTTAGGTGCATGGCTGTTACCACGATTACCACACCTTGCTTGTTGTCTTACTGAGTGAACAAGGGCACCTGTTTCTCTCATGTGGTCGGGTGGATCAATGGCGTTTAACTCTTTTGCATAGGACTTGGTAATTTCTGCTGCTCTGCACAATTGCAAGGCTTTTTCTAAGCTTAGATCATCTTCTCTGAGAAGACGTTCACGGAGTTGGTTGTCTGAGATACCGCATATGATTCTATCTCTTATCAATAAGTCTGTTAAGTCACCAAACTCACACGATTTTGATTTGTTTCTGAGTTCCGTGGCATATTGGTCAATTGTTTCTGAAGAAAGTTGGGATCTAGTGAAAAAATTATGCCTTTCAAATGTCACGTTCTTTTTGGCTGAGCAATATTTCTCAAATTGTTCGAACACTTTTCTAAGCTTCATGTTGTCTCCGTCGTTTTCAAAGTTGAATGCGTTGTACACATCTAGTGCACTTTCTCCAATAATATGTAGAAACATTGGTGTCTGGGTAGTGTCATCTTTTCTGGCGGTACCAGATGCAGTATTATAAAACATAAATCTATGTTTGAATTTTTTCCAGTTTTCTGACACATTGCCCGTGAGTTCTAGTGGGTCTGGCTGTGTTAGATGAGCCATTTGTGTTTATTATGTAGGCTATGACACTTGACGGTACACCGTTGGTACGTAACTGTACGTTCGTTAGATAGAGACGATTCACTACACGCTGTGTAGGCTAGGGACGACACTCGTATGAAGCGCCATAGGCGTATCATCACAAAATACTTGGCTGAATGTCACATGACAAAACTTTGTTCTCATTATTCACCAACAAATAATCTGATCTTGTTTTCACATTAGATCTTCTGTATGTAAAGTGTTCCTTAAATTTAAAAATCGATTTACAGTAAACATTTAGACAACATTTAATTAATATAGCAAGCATGACATTTTTTACATGCTTTTAGGGTGAAAATTAAAATGAAAATTCCGGTGAAAGTACACTACATTATTTACTCTATGTTAGTTATTTAAACATCTTAATTATATACCTTAAACAGGATGAAAGTTAAGTTATTTTCAATTCAGGATGTTTTGAATAATATGCCAAAAAAGCATTAGAGGTTAGCGTCACGGCGTGACCGTCACTGCGTGACATGTGAAAATCACCATTTTTATAGCATTTATGAATTATAAGTATATAAACAGAAAATTGCTCAAACATGAGCAATATGGTAAAATAAATACAATATTATCTGAATAAATATTCGGAAACTATTTAAACCCTTTACATAAGAAGCCAGGTATCAAGTCAATCAGATTAAGACGTCATTGATGTGAATGCAAATCTGATAATGTAAAGTAATTAAATGGATTGTCTTAAAACACTCTACACAATTACTTAAATGCATGATGTTTCATGATCCAAAACCAATAATGTTTATTTATCACACAATTGAAAGAATAGCATAGAAAAATACCCTTATAGAGGCTAAATGTCACACCGTGACATGACAAACTTATAAGCATTTTTCGCTTGGCTTATTGAAGTTCTTCATTGAAATGAACATGATTTTAAGTTTCGTGTGAATGTCCTTCACAATTTAGCAGAGGATTTTAAAAATTCAGTCACTAGTATTTAAATAAACTGAAAAAGTCACTTTTTTTTGTCACATCGTGACATAGAACAACTTAGGTTTTTGCTGGATCAATGGTCCATAAAGTAAAAAAGGTATACAAAAAATTATTTTTCCTGGTAAACAGCAATATGCGGATTACTAAAATCTGCATTTAACTTGAAAAAAAAATTTGGGGAAGGCCTCAATATATTAATAATAATTTTTTAAAATGTTGTTGTTACGCTGTGACGCATAAACATCGTGACAAAAAAGAAGTATTTTTTCCTCTGCTAATTAAAGTTCTTAAGTAAAATGAACATGGTTTCTTAGTAGGTATTAATGTTCTTCAGATCTTAGCCATACATTTTAAAATTTCATCTAGTGGTATTTGAAATGACCTAAAAACAATCACTTTTTACATCACAGCATGACATCGAGAAACATGAGAGAGCAGCTTAGCTTAGTCGGGATCGGCTTATCTGGTGGTAGCCACTGTGTGTGCGCTGAACTGTAGAGATCTCTAGGTCGTCGGTTCAATTCCCATCGCTGCCTCTCCTTGTAGTTTTCAGCTAGAGGGCTAAAATACAAGTTACAATAGCGCACCGTCTTTCGGATGAGACGTTCAAACCGTTGGTCCCGTGTGCATCTATGGCCCATGTGCACGTTAAAGAACGCAGTACACTGAAAATTCCGTGAAGACGCATAGGTTTAACACCTGTTAAATATCCTCTATCATGCCATATGAATAAAGCAGGACTAAAGGTGCATTAAGACGATTCACACCAAATTCGAATTTTCGGATCGGGACATCTACCGAAGCGATCAATAAACGAATCAGTGTGTAAGAAACAGGGACGCTGCAGCTCAGCCCTTCGAAAACACGGCCGAATTTCTGTTCAGATTCGATGTGAATGCAGCTTCATAGGAAGATTACTAAACATTTACAAAAAAAAATAGTTAACAACAAAAACACTCAGCAAACGTTATGATAGATGTAAACATCAGTCATGAGTTTAAGTTTGCATATTTTGTCCTTATGTTATTAATGATATTAAGACAAAGAAAATAAGATAAGGACAACATTAAAAAAAGAGACTATTATTTAATAGTTTTAAATTTAAGCAGATATTCTAGTATTATTTAATGACACAGTTTATTAAGTTCCTTAATAAATTTTAACAACTTTGGCTAGGTACTATAAAATTGGGGTCAAATAGAAATTATAACATATTAACATTATTGTATTCAAAGAAAAACGTATTAATTTATTAACTAAAATCATTTGAAGTTGTAAATCTTTCAGGTATTAGAAAGTCGTCTTTAGTTTGAATGAGAATCTTTAAAATGCAGTAAATCAGTTTTGAAGAAGCTAATAATGTAATATTATATTTAAAACTACAACCATAAGATGTTTTGGTAGTTACTATTAACATGTGAATATGCAGTTGATAGCTGTTTAACTTCATGCTAGTAGATTGAGAAACTAGATGATTATTTTGTATTATCTAAAATGTTCATACCAAATTCAGCTGATCTTTGGTAGGAATATGGAACTCATTATCAAATATTGCTGGTAGAGGAAAGTATAGAAGAATTATAGTTGTATTGTTTATTTCTTTAGATCAAGCCCAATGTGATTTCGAAGATCCATACCTTTGTTACTTTGTACAAGATGAATCGGATGACTTTGATTGGATAAGAACATCTGGATCAACACCCTCATCTCGTACTGGCCCTGGGTATGACCACACATATGGAACATTCCAAGGTAATACAACATTGACATTTTTCATTCATAAAATCTAAAATAAAATTGTAAAATTATCAATGAAAATATTGCAAAAACTGCATATAAAATAAAACAAGATAACACAATTATAAATAGATGTAAAAGAAAATTCTATGAAATCGAAACGTTTATTTCATTTGATTACAGGTTTCTACATATACATTGAAACTTCAAGTCCAAGAAACCTCAACGACATCGCTCGCCTTTGGACAATGACATATCCTGCAACAAACGGCACATGCGTCCAGTGGTTCTACCACATGTACGGGGCCACTGTGAACAGATTGAGTGTGTACATAGCCAATACAGCAGATACTCTTGGTACACCTGTGTGGTCAATAAGAAACGAGCAAGGAAATGTTTGGCGACGTGGACAAATTTTTGTGCAAACAAGTAGTGCCTACCAGATAGTGTTTGAAGGAATTGCAGGAAGTAGTTATACAGGAGATATTGCTTTAGATGACGTCAGGATCACCGATGGAGCATGTGTGCGAAATGGTATTATACACGTTCAGCTTCTTACACTTCACAGCCATAAACAATGTTATAATCCCTGTTGTCACCTTATATATTTACCAAACGTTACCATCCTTGGTCCGATGCAACCTGTCATATTTCCATCTAGCCCTTCCATAGATCTATTACCACTTAGATAGCTGCATCCGACCTGTAACCTTATCATTATATATTTTTGCAATAATTGTTCTCCACATGCAATCAAATTGACGATTGAATCATTATATTTTGAAGAAATGAATTGAGGTTTAAAATAACACACAACATGAATAGGCATAGTTGTTATTATTTAACATTTATCTTTTAGGTGGGTTATCGTTATTTTGTTAAGTATACTCTCTATTATGCCGGTGATGATATACTTACAAGTTGAGAGTTTTGAGCAGAAATCGGCTTTACAAGATCTAACCCCCAGACAATCTCTCGCATACTACTGACTGAAATGCTCAGACATTATAGAAGCAAAAGTTAGCCTACATACATATAATTAATAGTAATGCACATTTTGTCAAAACAATACTACATTTACCTACTACCGGTGACCACCCTTAATTATGCCGGTGATAATAAATACGAGGAATGGTAATTGAAGGATCTTGAGCTCTACTCTTGATGAGGACAAAAATGTAATTTAAAAAAAATGTTTTTATACAATTAGTATTATTTGTGATGAGAGATGATATTCTATTAATACGAACATTATATTTAAATAGTTTATGTTTAATTTCTATTTGAAGAAACGTGTGATATTAACTGCTTGAACGGCGGAGTCTGTTTCATCTCAGATTATGGATTCGAAAACTACTGTCAATGTACGCTTGGTTTTGTTGGACCAACATGCAATATAAGTAAGTTTTTACAGTCATAAAAGGTGAATTAATTTAATTCTTCCATGGGAGTAGGTATTGAGCAGTTTCATCTAAAAAGATTTGTATAAAGAATAATTTATGTAGCCTATATCCACTGGCATGCCATGTTAAATTAAATATGCAGGACAAATGGGGAAAATATCAATAATTTAAAAATCGATTTACAGTAAACATTTAGAAAACATTTAATTAATATAGCAAGCATGCCATTTTTTTTACATGCCTTTAGGGTGAAAATTAAAATGAAAATTCCGGTGAAAGTACACTACATTATTTACTCTATGTTAGTTATTTAAACATCTTAATTATATACCTTAAACAGGATGAAAGTTAAGTTATTTTCAATTCAGGA